TGCATTCCGACTTACCGATGTAGAGGCACTTCTATGTATTTTTCTCACATAATGATCATCCAGTGGCAGTACATTCTCGTCTTAATTGTAATCTTGCTCTATATAAAGGAAGGTTAGTACCCTTTCTCGTATTGACACTTGGTCGTCGAATTTGTCTAGAGTTTGGTTTCACGCGGTAGGTCAGGCAAACTGGAGCTGGGTGCAAGGAGACCAAAACTTTCCGGCATTTCTTTAGGCTCTTTGGCTAGAACTTCGGTGCTGAATCCTTTGAAGGCTAACTTGGCATTGTCCGCATCCTTGTACACGGACGGTGAGCTTCCATCTTCGTCGATGCTGTGCAGCATTATCGAGTGCAGCGGTATAGTTGCTCCGTTGTACAACGAGTCGAATCGAATCGGTGGGCCGATTTCCTCGATATAGTTTATATGGATGCCCTCCATTATATTCCCATGGGGGCTGGTCGAGGAAAGCTCCGTTGGCGTGTAATATTCGCTGTTGACATCCTCCAAGCTAGCGCCACTCGCCAGGTCGTTAATTTTCGCCTTGAAGTAAGTGTCCACGCGGATCGATCCGTCATCTTTCGGATCGAATACCATCGAGTCGCTCTTCCCGCAAGAGCCGGTCCGGCAATTATCAAAATAGAAATTCGGCAGATTCTCCAGTACTTTGTTCAGTGTTTGCTGCTGATATTTGTAACTCTCGCGCAGTCTTAGCACCTGATGGGCGCTGAACTTTCTTATCTTGTTACGCTGGAAGACATAGTTCTCTCGCACCCAATTGAGCTGACTTGTTGAGTAATCTCGTACTTTTCTCACCTGTTTCAAGATCAGAAAAACATAACATTTTGAACACACTTGTACACTTCGTCGACGAGGAGTACCTCGTCTACATGCCCTCTCTCAATATACATGTATGTGTATTTCTCGTTACTTATTGAAACTTTGCCTCGCGCAGAGAGAATTTCAACCGCAATTTACAGACAATTTGACTAAAATGTGTGAGCGATTGGAAGAGGGGAGACGTTCGGTGATTTTACGCCGGCTAATGGATTCTTGTCGTTTAATATTTCATTACCTGATCGTAATACTGATCTCTGAGAGCTGTAAGATGGCTCGTCCCGTAGTCCCTTATGTCTCTAATGTGCCTCATTTGACCTTCGTAACTGTCGCGAATCCATTCTACTTGCTGAGCGCAGTTCTCTTTTATTCTGTGCACTTGTTGAGTGTAATTCTCGCGTAGCCGCTCCAGTTGTTGGCTCTTGTATTGCTCGATATTGTCCAACATTTGGTAGATTTGTTTCGCTCTGGGAGTGGAACCGACGCGCCTACAGCACATGCACCAGTTCAGACAGCCGCACCTGAAACGAAAGGAAACAAACGATTTTATATTTGCGCACTTCTTGGGAAGAAGAGGCGGAGGGGGAGGGGGAGGGGGGCAGTAGCCGCGAATTTGCACGCGAAACCATCTAAAAGTTGCTTGAAGTTGAAGTATTTGAGATCCTTCAGAAAGAGGCAGCAGAGGGAAGAAAGTATCGACTCGCGAGGGAATGAAGCTAATATATGCGCATACGTGATTATTTTCGAACGCAATAACGATATACGCATCGGGCGATAATTATAGTTGGTTGTGTGGTCGTTAAGTGGCAACGAGACGGAAGAAGGGAATAATACTCACTTGACCAAGAGATAACGAAGCAGTTGCAAGAGGAGCGTTAAGAGAAGAAAGACGATCGCGCTGGCAGCGCCTACCAATATGCTGATGATCTTGACTTTCTCTAATGTTATTGGATTCATCTGCAAACTAATATAGGTAGTGGCATTGGCAATCGGATTGACTGCGAAACACTTGTATTGTCCAACATCCTGCCTGAGCAACGTCTTTATGTACAAAGATCCATTCTCGAGGATGCGTATGCGACCATCATCAACGAACGGTAGACTTTGTTCCCATCGATGTACGGGAGGATGTTCGACAAAAGCGTCGGGAAAGGCTGGATCAGGATTCCAATGCAGTACCTGGAGTGTCGGCGTAATCCATGTCAACGATGGCGTTGGATTGCCGTTGTATTCACACTCGAGTAGCACCGGCTTTAACAACAGATACTGTTGCGTGGGCGTAGCGTATACCAAACTCGGCGGCGCACATTTCAAGTAACGAAGAGTTTGAAGGATATCGGCGGTGCCGTCGATCTCGTCGCCGCATCGGAACCCACTTCGAAAAGCGGTACGTAGGTGTTCCTTGCTCTCGGCCCATTTTACGAACCAGAACATACGGCAATCGCAGGCCCACGGGTTCCCTTGCAGCTGCAATTCGGTCAGTGACGACAGCTGCGCCACGTTCGCCGGCAGAAAGGTCAGGTTGCTGTCGCGTAGATCGATTTTACGCAGCGCCGGTGTACGATCCAACGTACACCGTGAGATCTCGCGCAACGGGTTGCTGCTCAATTCCAGCGTCTCCAGTTTGTCCAATCCTTTCAAGTCGTCGTTACGAAGGACCTCCAGCCTTGTCCCGGAGAGCGAGAGGCTGCGCAGCTTCCTCGTCGGTCGCCAAACATCGTGCGGAAGCATCGTTATCGGTACATTCTTCAAGCTGAGCCATCTCAGATTCGACAGGCTGTGGAACGTGATGCTGGTCAAACGCGTGATAGGATTGCCGGAGAGATCGAGGTGCTGCAACGAGACCAGATCGGCGAACAAGCCGCGCGGGACCGTGTCGATTTCGTTATTGGCCAGCTCCAAGGTCTTCAATTGGCTCAAGCCGGAGAACAAACGGGGTGGAAGTTTGGTGAGTCTGTTGGCGGATAGGCCAAGCTGCTGAAGATGCGCGTTCGGCCTGAAACTGTGGTCCGGCAACGATACCAACAGATTGCCGGAGAGATCCAAGCGAGCCAACAACTTGGACGAAGCGAACGCTTGGTAGGGAAGTACTGACAGTCGATTGCGCGACAAGCTGATCTCCTCGAGTCGCTCCAAACCTTGGAACAACACTCGCGGGAGTATGGTCAACCGGTTCCCGGTGAGATTCAGGTACTGTAGTTGGTGCAACGGATGGAAGACATCCGACGGTAATTCCGTCAGCCTATTGTCACCTAAGTTGAGATGTTGGAGGAACGTTGCCGCGTGGAACACGCCAGCTTCTATCCTCTCGATTCCGCTCGACGTCCAGGCGAGGCTCTTGAGACGAATCGCCGTTTCGAGGGCGGAAACCGGTATAGTGGCAGCCTCGACGTTCCTCAACACGACATTGGTCGCCTGTCCGGACAAACCGAGCCCGAGGAAATTTCGTTGCTGACACAGTAGGCTTCTTCCATTGTCCAAGCACTCGCAACCCGTGGCACATTCTACGCGCGAGGACGCCGACGTTTTTTCCGTAACGAACCCCGTTTTCCCCCGTGACGAGCCCGGCGACGGGAGATCCGATTGCGTATCCGTAATGTGCACCACAATCAGCAGGACTATTAACCACCACCAGCAGTGCCACGTGAAAACCCGCTCCCTCATTCCTATGACCTGAAATATGACGATTTCCTCGCATACAACCAAGAAATCCCATGTCCTGTTGCGTCTTCGTGAAAGATCCAAAATTGTTTTCGATCTGTTTTTTGACTTTGACAATCTTTTAAATTCGTCTGAATTTCTGCTTGATTTTCAAATCAAGAAATAACGGATATATATGTGTGT